TTCAGACAGTAAACGATTTGTAGTTTATGCTGACATCTGGCTTTAACAACTGTGGTGACAAGTTCTGTCAACTAATGCTGCCAGAAAGTGTTCGGATATCTTATAAACTCACTATTTGTGCCATCTTGTGGTTATTTCTGCATTCTGCAAGGACTCTTCAGTTCTCTATTTCACTTCTGCTCTGGGTAAATGCAACTTTAATGCATTAACGGGGGCTGAAAAGGTTGTTGTGTTTGTCAGCTCTTTTTAAAATGTAAGTCCAAGCTGAATCCTTAAAGTACTTTAACATGTTGTAATAAAATCAAAAGACAAGAGTCAGAAATAATAGTCAGAAGACAGAAAAGTTCACGTAGAGTTCCTTGTTCATCCAACATCTCGATACAGGCCAAACAGGTGTCAGGTTGGGGTTCCCCATTCAGTTTAATGAGGAAAACCCACCTATTCACCTCTTTTTTCATTTAATTAATTCCCTTTGATGTAATGCCATGCTATGAGCGCATGTCCATGCCCCTTTTGTCTGTTTTATTAGGTTTTTCCATTCTGATGAAGGGTCCAGGTGCACATGGACTCTAAAAACTCCCCTTTTCTCCATTCCCTTTGATCATGTAAATGTAAAACTGTGACATAGGGAACATAAGGAGACATAAGGAACACACACACACATCAAACATCACACAGTACATCTACTAAACGTAAAGCAAAAATATAAATACACTCTCTAGGGCTCTTATTTGTTTCATATGACAATCTATGAAAATGTCGCTTCTCGAAATGCTGCAACTCCACACTTTTAGATTAAGATTTAGATTTTAGATTAAACCAATTCATACTCAATAAAAAGGTCAACGAGGCTAAGTGAGAAAAAAAAATCCCTTTGAACAGGAAGAAGCCTTCATCAGAACCAGGATGAGTTGTCAAAATGAGTTGTCTGCATAGATAGATAGATAGATAGATAGATAGATAGATAGATAGATAGATACTTTATTGATCCCCAAGGGGAAATTCAAATTCGAGATGCCGATATCAGGTTAATTGGTGATCTAAAAATGAATTGAGGAGCAAGTGTACATGGTTCTTTCTATCAGTGATAGGCAAATATGCCAAACCTCTCACCAAACAACAGATGTCCATTGTTTTTTTATTTATTTTTATTGTTTATACTTTATGCACCTTTTCCTCCTTGTTTGCACCTTCTTTAATCACTAAACCGATGTGTGACCAGTGAATTTCTCCACTGTATGATCAATAAAGCTTAACTTATCTTATCTTATCTTAGACCAGGCCTAATGTTTAGAAAACCAGAAAACCAGACAGATCACGGTTGCTTTAATGTCCATCAGTTATGG